GGAGAGAGAGAGATAGAGGAGAGAAATAGGGAGAGAGAAAGAGAGAGTAATGAATAACCCATGACTATTTTATATCTTAACTCGAATCTTATCTTGCTCTGTTCTTATATTAAGCACTCTAAATTTTACTATGCACACACACACACACACACATATATATATTTATATATACTGAACAATAAAAATATATTAAAATTTTAAATTTTTAAAATAAATTTTAAAATTTTAAAATTTTAAATTTTAAAATTTTAAATTTTAAAATTTTAAATATAAATTATAATATATATATATATATATATATATATATATATATATATATATATAAAAATCAGAGGTAGCCGAAATTGCTGGGTATGAATTGAATTAAAACGTAAGTTTAATGTTAATGTGTATGTAACAAAAACTTATGGGTAAATTTTGTTCATGTCTTGCGGCTCTCAAACATCTGAACTTTATCGTATGTGGCTCTTAGATTAAGCAAGTTTGGTCATCCCTTTATATATATATATATATATATATATATATATATATATATATATATATATATATATATATATATTCTTTTGAAAACCTATGCCTCATCTGCCCACAAAGGAATCTCTTTCCTTTTCTAATAATGTTGCATGGCAAGGAAGAAACACTCCCATGAATGCATATCAGGCTTACAGCTAGACATTAATCATTTTCCATGTGTGACCAATGCAGATATATATCGTAATGGTGAGGACCAAAAAGGTTTTGGGTACCTTATGTCATAAGTAATTCGGTACCACGTGTTTGAAATGCGACGAAAGAACTCAAATATCAAATCATTCCGAATACCTGTGTGATTTATGTTAAAACATATATATATATCGCTTCAGACGTTATTATAGTGGATACACGTGTTTGAAATAGACGTTCCTTTTTATTTTAAACAGTGTGTATTCCGTCGATTAGCCTGCACATTCGAGAAATCTTAATAAAGAAAATGTGCTTTCCGGTAGAAATCGATCCTACGTCCGCCTTTGTAGGAGGAACGACAGTTTGATCCGGTGTGTTTTACCGCTCAGTTATGAAGAACTTCTCAGTTATGGTAATGTTCTACTATAATAACGTTTTAAGTAATATAAATATTGAATTAAAAATGAACCGAATAATTCCTTAGCAATATATATATATATATATATATATATATATATATATATATATATATATATATATATATATATATATATATTCAATGAGAACGAAAATAATATATAAATTCTAACGTTCACAGCATTAATTCAAAAGAGGGCTCGATACCGATAGTAGAGCAATAATTATTTATTATCATATAAACAAAAACAGTTTACTCACTACAAACATGTAACTTCGTTTCGGTGCATTTCAATTGCACCTCGACTGGTGAGAACGAAAAATGGTTATGGACAATCAATTCTGTTTTTAAGCAAGCCGCAAATGCACCGAAACGAAGTTGCATATATATATATGTGTGTGTGTGTGTGTGTGTGTGTGTGTGTGTGTGTGTGTCTGTGCCTGTGTGTAAAGATAAATATGTCTGTTTATACGTGTATCTATATAACTGTAATCATGAATATGTACGTGATTGTGTGTGCGCATGCTTATGCATCGATATTTCACACCTATCCCAATTTCTTATAAGACCTTTGTATGCCGTACAATACAGTTCGAGGCAACGCTATCCCTTAAAGACTTTATTTTAGCATTAGTGTGCAAATCGCCCATTTTATGATTTTGTTTCGACTTGTTTTTTGTTTTACTTTAATGTCGACCATTATTTGATTTCAGGTTTCTAACCACAAATTTCTTCATATGTTCAAATAAACCAGAAAAAAGATATACGTAAAATTTAAAAAAAAAAAATTACTTTATTGTAGAAGTCCTACAATATTTGTTTCTTCTTTCGCACTTCTCGCATGTGGAACTCTCTTCCGGTTTCCTGCTTTCCAGTCAAGTTTGATCTTCAAAAATCTAAATGCAATGTCAATCGTTATCTTCTGTCTCGATTCCTGTCCCTTTATTGTTCTCTCTCCTTAATAATGTTTTTCTTTTTCTCATATACTTTCACACTTGACCTTAGTGGTTTTATTGCCTTACTTGGGGTGAAAAGGAAGGTAGCACAAACAACGGATTACAGCGTTTTTCACAACACGGTTTTTATTATTGTGCCTACGTGATTAAAAGGAAAAGAAATTCTAAATAAAAAATTATGTTGAAGTCGTGCTATTTTATAGCGAAGCAACTAAGAATGTAAGACCAAATGAGGTTCAAAATTACTACACCGTAGTAAGTTCTACAATTATAGTTTGCTTGATTGTTGTTAAATATTTATCAGATCGGATTTGTTCTTTCGCCTTATTTTTATTCTCTTTAAATTGATGAGATTGTATTTTGCTAGATAAGCGATTACACACAGTGTTTACACACACACACACACGCGCATATATATATGTACGTACAGAGGTGAGATGCTAAATTAAAAAAAAAAACTAGTGAGCCTCTTTCTGCGACACACGCACAAGCACATCTCTTTGTCTATTTTTCTCAGACAGGTTTACATTCTCTTTGTCTGTCTGCCTGTTTGTCTGTGTCAGTCACTCTCTGTCTCTCACCCTCTCTCACCTCTCTCTCTCTCTTTCTATATATATATATATATATATATATATATATCTTTTTGTCTGTGCGTCTGTATATATTTATATATATATATATATATATATATATATATATATATATATATATACACACACACACAGACACAGAGACATACACTCACTCACACACACACATATCTATAAATACCAGCTGTTTGCTCTATAACGAGGATAACCATTTCTACACAATTTCTCTATCCTCTCTCACTTCACGCACTCATACACATATTACACACACACACACACACACATATATATATATATATATATATATATATATATATATAAATTAAAAAAATTAAAAAATTTTGTCTACTTATTCTTAATAGGTTCCTCTCATATTTACGGACGAGTTTCTTAGTATACTTATTAAAAGAAGAAAGAAAATTACCATGTTGATTTATATAAATTTTCTTTCCTCCGTAAATATGAGAGGATCCTGTTAGTTACGAATACAAAACCTTTTCTAAATTGTTTAATGTGACATGTCTTAATGAAAACATGCTGCCAACATATAACAAGAAAGGAAATTATATTAACAAATTACTATTTCCTATGCAAAATAAATGTACTGATCCCAGTACACACACACACACACACATATATATATATATATATATATATATATATATATATATATATATATATATATATATATATATATTGGGTGTGGGAGGGTGGCCGCACTATTACATGAATCGGATCGTAGCCCAATGATCAAGAAAACGTTTATTTTGCATAACAAATAATTATTTTTCTATATTTTCCATTTATATCAATTGTGAATTAGACTATATATATATATATATATATATATATATATATATATATATATATATATATATATATATATATATATAAATAAAATATATATTAAATAAAACTTCGATCAAATAAAATATAAATTCGCTATATGATATTTGGACACCAAGCTTTTTTTTATAAATGTTTCATTTTATATGATGAAGAAGTAATATAAGTTTTTCATTTAGTTTTTTGCTCATGCCAGTACTCCAAAGCGGTCGAGAGCGCTCATGCACGCCTGTGTTCGCACGCCTGTGTTCGCACGCCTGTGTTCGCACGCCTGTGTTCGCACGCGCGTGCTCGTGCGCGTGTGTGCGTGTGGGACATTGGGATGCGTCGTATATATGAATACAGGCTTATTAAGATAAAAAAAAAAACAATCAAAAATTTATCACGGATATTTCAAATTATTAAGTGAAATATAATCTTACACACACACACACACACACACACACACATATATATATATATATATATAAACAAATGCCCAAACATTGATAACATTATTAGTGAGAATATGATTCTGAATTAAGGATGTAAAAACCAAATAATATTATCTGCGTTGCGGTATGTCTATTATTGATCTACATACTGTGTAATCCATCTTTATGAATTAATAACATTTGCTTAAATATTCATTGTCTTCTTAAATCCTTTTCACAAATTATATTTAATGCCTGTGTATTAGGGAAGACACGAATACACACACACACACACACACACACTCTCACACACACATGCACACGCACACACACACATACACACACACATACACACACACACACATACATATTGGCATTTCTAATAAGACATACGTTTTTGTCAGGGAGTAATACAAGTATTTTAAGAAAGTAAAAAAGAAAGAAACAGATAAAGAAAGAAGGAAAGAAAAAAAAGAAAATTAATATTTATGATAATGTGAATGTCTAAACATGTGAAAGAAAAAAAATAATATGAAAACCCAGATTTGATAAAGAAAAAAAGAACAAATTAATATGATTGCTTAAATTTAAGAAAGAACAAATTAATGAATGTCTCAATTTAAAAAAGAAAGAACAATAATATAAATACTTGAATTTGAAAAAGACAGCAAGAAAGAAAGGAAGAATGAATGAATGAAGCGGTCAAAAAATGAAAAACTTCCGAATAAGGAAATGATGGGAAGTGAAGACGTATACTTAATGAAAAATAAGCTGGGAGTAGGAAGTAGAATCGATATGAATAGGAGCCGATACAAGCTTGACAAAGGAATCAGTGAAAATGTTGAATGGAAAGAAAAAATGGAAAGGGGAGACTATCAGTTTGAATGGGTAGTATCGATGAATGAGCGGAATTATACAGGAGTGTGGTGCTAAGGTTTAAGAAACGGGTTTCAAAAACAAAGCTTAAATGGGGATCAGTCGATATGAAAATGAAATTTAATCGTATGAAAATTTGAATGAAAAATGCTGAAAATAAAAAAGAGACGAAAGAAGCCTCGATCATTTCATATCAAGAGTTAGCAATGAATGGAAAGGAGTTATCGAATGGGGTGATCTATACAGAAAAGGGATAATTCTGTGTGTAGGGCAGGAATAAGAGGCGGTCTGTAAAGGAAAGGGGCGAATGAGAGTTGAGAAGGGTGGGGAAAGAAACAGCAGGAGATGAATGAAAAGAGGCGCGGGCAGGCAGGCAGTTGGCAAAGAAAGGGAGACTGGAATATATGAATGAAAGAACGCTTGGTGGTACTCCATATAAGGAAATAAGAATGAAAGTTCTGCGAAACGAAGAACACAAAACGAGTTGGTGTTAGAACTGAAGATGAGGATGAATGAAGTTGGCGAGCAGTAAGCAACTGAAGAAAGTGGAAAGTGGAAGGGCGAGGTCGACGAGTAGGGGTGGAGACGATGATGAAAATAAAAAGTAATCAACTGAAACGACTGATTTTGTTTTTCTTCTTTTTCATTTTCGCGAATGAAAATACTCGGATAAATCAAGGTTTACAAGTGGGAGGAGGAGTAGAAGAAAGGTGGGTCGAGAAAAACTGAATGTAAATCTGTGTGAATGAGAACAGAAATAAAACAAAAATAACTGGGTGATATTAGAATTAGAAGGAAAAATATGATGAGAACGAGAAAGATGAGATCGCAAAGAAAACAAATATTGGTAGGGAATATATCGTTAAGTGCATACAACTGGGAGAAGTAGCAATAAAATATTTGCACATAAGAGAAAGACCGAGTGAGAGAGAATAAAGAAAACAAAAGAGAGACTTACAAATTGTGTACAAAGAGATTAGAAGGCGAGAAAAAAAAAAAAAAAAAAACGAAACGTTTAGAGAAAAGGGGAAATCTCTTGCCAACCATTACTCAACGCTTTGTGCAGAGAATTACTAAGTTCAAAATAGTCTGCCACAAGGCCACAATTGTGGAGTGCCAAATTAAGCTCGAAATCACTCAACAGCAAATAGTCGGTGGGAGTAGCTTGCTTACTGACCACCACTCTACAGTAAGCGCCCAGTTATTGATATGCTTAACATATTCTTGAATAAGTTTACAATAAAAAATCACTGCACAAGGATCGAACCCACTACGCTACAGTAGGCGTCCTATACTGATATTTATTTACTCAGGCACAAAGCAGAGATAGAGAGTATGTATGCGTGTGTGTGTGTATATATATTCACACACACACACACATATATATATATATATATATATATATATATATATATATATATATATATATGTATGTATGTATGTGTGTGTGTGTGTGTGTATATATATATATTCATAAGTGTGTGTGTGTGTGTGTGTCTGTAGTGTTGTTGTTATTGATTCAGGGCATTATTACTCTGCTTTTTTTGCACATGAGCACAGATGAGACAACCCTAGAGGGGAGAGAGAGAATATGGAAATGAGAAACGAGAGGGAGAGAGAGAGAGAAAGAGAAAGAGAAAAGAGAAAATGGAGAAAGAGATGACGGGTGAGGGAAAGAAGTAGAAAAGGTTGGAAGACGAAGAAAATGAAATAAAGAAGTTTTATGAAAAAAAAGGCGGGAGGAAGATAAGATGAGAATGAGAAAGTCTGGAAATAGTATCGGAAAAAAGTGTGCGTCCAAGGGATGTGCAAATTGAGTGGGAGCAGGAAGTTAGGGGTTTGAAAATAATAATAATAATAATAATAATAATAATAATAATAATAATAATAATAAACAACGTAATAAAAGCAACGAAGATTAAGAGGAGGAGGGAGAGGAAGAAATATGAATGGGAATGAAAGCGTTCGACAGATCAACAAACCAGGCGATCGTTCAATGAATGTTCAAGACTGGGAGTAACCGAAAGGTGATTGAAATGAGTAAGAGAGAATGAGCGGTACTGCAGCTGAATGAAAGAGGTTGTAGATATGAGGGACGGGTAAGGAAGAGAGAGGAAACTACGAAGACTGGCACTTAGGAGCCCATCTTTGTCTCTCAAGGTGAGTGAGAAGATGACGGCGGGGGTAGAGTCATACCACGGGATGATGTAGAGTGGACAGGCAGGAGGGGTGAGGAAAGGAGGAAATGAGAAGGATAATTCATACAAAGGGGAATAGACAGAGGGAAAAAAGCCTAAACGTTTGACCACATGTGGGACATTCATGGCGATCTGTGCGTGTGTGCATGTGATTATGTTGTGTGTCGTTTTAGCCTTTAAAATGTGAACGTAAATATTTGCATATGCATTTGTGCATGTGTATACGTGTGTGCGTGTGTATGTGATTGCATGCTTATATTTGAATATATGTTTGAATGTACCATCTTTCTTACTCTTTTTATATGTTCGTGCGTTTAGGGGTGAATTTTGCATTTTAAACATTATGATATATTATATAAATGTTTGTCTATATATACATATAAATACATATAAATACATATAAATATATATATATATATATATATATATATATATATATATATATATATATATGTATATATATATATATATATATATATAATGTATGTATAACATATATATATATATATATATATATATATATATATATATATATATATATATATATATATATATATTGCACATTATGCGCATGTGTGAATACGAACTTGCATGTTATATGACGACTATTACGGTAGCGCGTTTACCTGACCACTTAACCGCTTGTGTAATGAGTTCGATCCTTAATGCATGCTTCAATGTAGCTATATGATTAAAAAAAAAAAGTAATATATACAGTGTAACCCGGATATAAGAGACCCGGATATAAGAGAAACCCGGATATAAGAGAGATTTTCTCTGGTCCCAAATTAGAGCCTGTGTTAATGTATATAAAATAGACCAAACCCGGTTATAAGAGAAACCCAGATATAAGAGACTTCTTCTCCGGTCCCGACAACTCTCTTATATCCGGGTTACACTGTGCATATATATATATATATTATATATAAGTAAAAGTCAACCGAAATTCACTGAAGGAACATTTGATGACTACATGTCTCCAGTTTATTTACCTCCGTATGTATATATGACATATTTACGAGTAGCCTCTTTGTGCGGTAATGTTTAACAAGTTGTTTTACCGTTATTATAGAATAATGAGTTCGATCCTTATAGTCGCAGAGTTTCGTTCTCCTCAGCAGGCAGTACCTATTTTCGGGAGTTGACTAACCTTTGGTCTCTGAGTCGTTTCTAAAAGAAGTGAAATAGAGAGTGGACTTAACTGTAATTTTGGGCTTATTTGTCCCGTATACGTGTGGGACACCCACTTTAAACGCGAACTTGTGTCACGTTCCATTCGAGTAGGCGTGCTGGTAAAATGTCACGAGTTCGATCCTCACTAAGAATCGTAAATTTTTTGAGCGCCTCAGCGTGGTTAACTACCTAGTCTGGTTGGCTATCACTATTATTAAGCAGAAGTTTCTAAGCTTAGAAAATGACGACATATATGGCATATTTGCATAAATTTAAATGTTATGTACTTTGTGTTTGTTATTAGATTCGTATGTACCTGTGTATGTCTGTCTATCTCTATGTATGTATGTATGTATGTATACGTGTTCGTCTGTGTTTATTTTGATTGACTATCGTCTTTGATCCTCGGCCTATCATCTTTATGTACACCCATATGGCAATCAAACCACTCATTAAAAATCCGTGTTGTTGCTATATGAATCATGCTATGGTACGCATTTACGCTTTAAACACACACACACACACACACACACATATGTATGTGTGTGTGTCTGTGTGTGTGTGTCTGTGTGTGTGTGTCTGTGTGTGTGTGCGTACTTCTTACTGAGAAAATGTATCCGTGTACACAGTTGACGAATATATGTAAGTACACAGTACACGCATTTGTGTGCATATTGAATATCAAAACGAATGTAATAGTATGTACATGCGAATAGATAACTCATTGTATATGTACACAAAACGCACGCTCGAGTGACCTATTTGTAAAAATAAGTAGGTCATTGCATTTTCTTTGTTTGTGTGCTTGCTTCCTTGTAAAAAACGAAGCATAGCAAGCTAGTCTCACAGACTTACTTTTGTTTTTGCTAGTATTAGTCAGTGTATATCAGATTAGTACTCAGTAGGTCATCCTGTGTCAGACTAGGCTAAGTGTAAAAATTTACCTAGGGCGTCTGCTGTAGAGTGATGGCTAGCAAGAAATGGATTCAATTCTTACTGGTTATTCCTGTTCTATGATTATCGCCTAAGGCTTAGTTTAATAAATATCGACTGCTTTTATTTTTTATACGTTTGTATACATGTTATTGCTTACACTCATTATTCTCAGTGTGTGTTAGAGAGAGAGAGAGAGAGAGAGAGAGAGAGAAAGTGAATAAAAAAAAAAGAACTATATGCTTACGCGCATGCGCAGTTATGCCCAACTAGAAGTGCGGTTACCTTTTATTGTAATTAACTATCGTATTGATACGGTAAATGTGTATAAAGTGTTTTTATTTTTTCGGTAAGTTATGTTTGAGTCGCAACAAACCAAACCTATTTTAAATTTTCTGTAAAGGATTTTTCCGTGTAACCTGTAAAGGTTAATGAGATATTTAAGTGTGCACCTCAAAAAGTAAGTCTATAGACAATGTACAAAAAATGTTAAACCGCCCAACAGATGAAATATGGACAATGCCTTGAGCAAAAATGACTATATAATGGTGTACTTATTTTATACATGATTATGAAAGGAATATGTACACACAAAATAGTGTGCGTTATATAGATAGATATACACTACATTATATATATATATATGACTGTCAATATATATATACATATATATATATATATATATATATATATATATATATATATATATATATATATATATATATATATATACATATAAATAAATAGATAACTAGACTCGTTTTTCGAAAAACCCTCAATTTTTGATTTGCTAATCAAATCAATCTCGAGGGAAAAAAAAAGGTTTAAAAAAGAAAGAGCTACAAACATGGACTTCTGCCGACAAAAAATCGCACAGATGCAGGTCTGAAGCCCAAAGAAAAACCCCGATACGGTAACAACTAACAAAAGAGCTCAATACAACCGTAGAGCAGACCTAGATACACCTAGTGAGCCAGACAAACCTACCTAGGTTTCACCTAAACGGATCGTCAGGGAAAGTTTATATATTGACACTCAGAGCCGAAAGATAGAAAAAAGAAAGAAAAGGAATAATGAGAGAATATAAGGAAACGAGAAAATTACTAAAAGAAGAAATAACTTCAACATTTTACACGTGTTCATACACAAAAGTACAGGCGTACACACACATACACATATGGGTACACACACACACGGGTACACACACAAGCGCAAAAGAAGAAAAAGCAGCCTAACCTCAATAAAATACGCATAAAATATTTTTAAAAAACTTATGTAAAAATAACGAAAACGATAAAATCCGCAGACAATTGCTGATATCTTCTGACGAGTGAACCGAACGATTACAAGAATGTTCATCTGCGAAACACTGGAGTCGAGATTCTGAATATAACATCAATGAACTAAGAGACAAAGTGTATATTTGTATTAATCATATATATATATATATATATATATATATATATATAGTAGTCACTCCCACACCCAAACTCTGTTCGATATAAAGTGTACATATGCACTATGTATTTCACTCTCGTTTTCCTCCTGCATTTTAAAAATATATTTTCCCGACATTATTTACCTTACCACCACTTAATGCAATATATATGTGTGTGCGCGTGTACGTTTGTATGTGTGTATGTGTGAGAGGCTGTGCAGCAAATTAGGTTTTAGTGTGTATGTGAAAAATTTATTTCTTGAAATTAGGGATTGATATGGATGCAACCCCTTTCCCGCACGCGCGTGCGCACGCACAGGTACACACACACATACACATGGATATTTTGTTTTTCGTACCTTTTCTGCTGTCTGTAACCATCATATAAAATGCAGAATATGTTAAATTTCTTATTTCATGTAAATGCATTAACTTTTTCACTATAGGCATTTTTCGCTCATTTATGATCTATTTAAATTATAGTCAGATACAAGGTCAATATTCCTGTGAGGCATGTACTGGTCATGCCATGTATTATTTTAAAAAATTATTTATTTTCCTTTCACGATGTCCTGACTAGTAGACACGGATTGTCGGAATATGTATCGTTTCCTAGGGTTGGTATACTCACAAACTATTTAATTTTTTCTTTTTTTTTTTTTTGCATTTTAAAAGCAAAAACATTTTCTGTTACTATCGCAAAACTGCTCGCTGTCTATCTAATATTTTGTTTTTGTTGTTATTTATTTGCTTAATATTCGTGTTTTGTTGATTTGATTCATTAAATTATAATTAATAAGGTGTTGTATATCCTTACCTTGATGGATATAAATAATACATATTGTCATTCCGCAGTTTTTACTGTCTCTTTCACAACTACTCTTGCTGCTGCTACTAGTAATAATAATAACAACAACAGCAACAACAAAAATAATAACTACTACTACTACTTCTAATAATAATAATAATAATAATGATAACAATGATAATAATAATAATAATAATAAAATCGACCAGATAGTTATTAAAATCTTTAAAAAAGCATTGATGTTAGCTTAAAAACATGTCTGCTAAAAAATATTTCAACAAAAGTATTTGATAAACTATCCAGATATAAGGATTTGTAAGTACAGGAGTGTAGCATTTAAGCACAGCCATTATCCCAGTAGTAGTAGGAGCACAAGGAATTATCAAGACAATCTCCGGATAATCCATCTTTATCTGAAATACAAAAGGTCGAGCATTCTTTTAATCCAGTATACTTAAGAACTTTCTAACCAAAACTTCATTTACCTTAGGTGTCAAGTGAATTATTTGATAAATAATTGCATCAAATAGCAAATCAAAAGAAATAAACAACAACAATAATAATTATCATTATTATTTTCAAAGTGTTTAATTATTATTGTTAATTAATTATTATTGCCTTTATTGCTTCGCTATCAAAATCGATCGATACTCCGTCCAGGAAAGTAAGAAAAGAAGAAGAAAAGATATTAACGAATTGAGTGGTGGATGGTTGACATCGCGAAGCACAACACAACACCACCACAGACTTGGGCTTATTGGGAAGAGCTTATTCTGAACATATACCTGAAATGGGGTTGAATTGAAACAAATGGCCGTGAGTTGGGGCAGATATTATTCCCCGTAAATGATAGTATATTCTTTCTCGCTGTCGAAAATATTGCAATGCTTCGTTTTCTCTGCAATAGTCCTTTCTCTGTGGCTGGTATTTAATGAATGGTTTGCCCATATAAGGAATATGGACAGCCAATGACCCGACCTCGATCTGAGGTCGATATATGCGCGCGCACACGCGAGCAGAAATGGCTATTGTTACCCATGTCATTCATAAGTAGAAAAAGAATGAGAGAGGAAGGGGAGGACCGAGGAATTAGAGACAATAGGAATATAGTGGGAGAAAAAGATTACACGAGGGAAAAAAAACTGGAGAGGAGAAAGTGATTAATAAAAGTTGTGAAGATATGAGAGAGAGGGTCAGTTGGAAACAAGAAAGAAAGAAAAAAAAGAGTAAAACAAATATTTAACAAATAAAAGGAAAATTAAAATTAACTAGAGAGAAGGACGACAAAAGAAGAAAAAGTGAAGAAACAAAGAATAATGATGAAGAGAAAGAAAAGAAAGAATACCGGGAAAAAGAAGAAAAAGAAAAGTTCATGAAAAGAAAGGAGGAAAAAAATAATGGTGAAAAAAAGAAATATAAAACATGAGAGGAAGAGGGAGGATGGAAAACCAAAAGAAGAAAGGAAAGGAATGAGAAGGGCTGAAACTAAATGGGCTAAAAGAAAAAGAGAGAGGAAATGGGTAAGAAATAGAGAATTGACAGAAAGAAAACAACGTAAAGTATTATCTGTGAATGGAAGAGAGTAAGAGAAGAAAAAATATATATATATATATATATATATATATATATATATATATATATATATATATATATATATATGCACGTTTTCACTCCCTTTTACATTGAATATGTGCGAATAAAGCGTTTTGTCTTTGTCCGATCTATCTATCTATCTATCTATCTATCTATCTATCTATCTATCTATCTATCTATTTCAGTCTGTTCACATCTACCTTTCTGTCAATTCTTTTCTTTTCTAAAATCATTTTTTTTTAATTTCTCTTTGAAAACTTGTTTTGCCTTTCTTTTCCTTTCCATAACATTTCCGCTCATTCTTATCTACTTTTCATTTCTTTCTTTCTTTTATATATATATATATATATATATATATATATATATGATATCGATGCTGAAAAGTTCTTGGCCCAACACACTTCCCAATTGACTAAACAGCAATTTCTTTTTTTTGGAAATGCTTCTTATATAGATAGATAGATAGATAGATAGATAGATAGATAGATAGATAAAATTGCGAATGTTTTACGAATAGTAAAATTCGTCGAAAAGCATTTTCTCGAAACAGGCTAAATTCGAACCTTAATAATTTAGTATTTGTGCGCACATGAGCATTGCACACAGTGGATTTGTTCCAACTTGTACAGAATTGATCATAATGTCACTTACTTATCATAATTCAATCTTTGAGTGGGCTAAAGTAGTTACCCAAGTAACATGATTTTTATTTCTTTTCCTTTTTGGTCGATTTTATTTTAGCCATAAGAATAACCAGCGCGATGTGAACAATGAAATTTGGGGGAAAAAAGAACAAACATTTTGATAAAAAAAGTTTAAATTTATTCTGAATTGGTAACAATTATCTGTAATCTAATGAGTTTCGTTTCCGAAGTCACACAGTCTCACACACACGCACACACACACACACACACATATATATATGTTATATATATATATATATATATATATATATATAGTGTGTGTGTGTGTGTGTGTGTATATAATAATAATAACAGCTGACTACTCGTATTCGAGGATAACTGTCTGTTAGGGAGGCTAGCCAATCCCTATTTCAGACGCTCGCTCAGGCACATTTACGTTTTTTCAACACCCGCAGAGCCAGCCTGTGGTTTATACTGCAACTATGCTGAGGAGACCTTAGTTACAGTTTCTGGAAGAGAGCGTGTTATCTAGGCCAGCACATTCAAACCATCGGTCACGGTAACTTGTGATTTCGTGCTAGCACAGCTTTCGGCGGCCCCCGAGGGTACAGTCTACCCAATTTCACTCGCAAGGCTTGGGTCAACCCTGTGGCATGGTTTATATATATATGATAAAATATAGTTTTAAGGTATGCTATATTTATGGGTTAAAGTGCTCAATATCAGGGATAAAGCGTATGCAAATATAAAAGTGGACATCGAAATCAACACCCAGAAGCGACAGTCTGTTTCATGCTAAACGCAGTCGTTAGGCCATGTGCGCTGGGTTTTTGTAATGGAAAAACAAAAACGATTGCTTTTAGCATGAAACTGACTGTCGCTTCTGGGTGTTGATTTTGATGTCCACTTTTATATTTATGTATATATTACCGTATATTTCCGTGTATAAGACGACCTTTAAATCCTCTAAATTACCCTTTAAAATTTGGAGGGTCGTCTTATACTACAATTCTAAAAAAGAAACCTTAAATTCTAAGTGATGTTTGTTGATAGGCTAACCCCGGCTTTGGTGCGATAACCAATAACGCACATGAAAAGATTCACATTATCAAATAAACTGATAATAAAAGCAATAAAACCATTTCTACCTTATATATTACTGGCATAACTTCATAATAAATTGCCCATTCGAAAAATAATTCCATATTAATGAATTATTAAATAATTCCATAATAATTAAATAATTCCATATTAATGCATCTATGCAAGCTCAGCTGAGCAAATGTAAACACCGAGTTATGCTTGCGTTCACAGCAACCTTTATCTTTTGCTAAACTTTCAATAATTAATAAAGGATAAAAACAACAATGAAGCTCTGACACGTGACAATATTCGTGCGCATGGGATGACGGCTAGCTAGCCGCGCGCAAATTGCAATCGTTTATTCAAGTATGCGGGAGCAACGAGGTCAGACGTATGGACGCTGCACTCTGGGATTGCAGAATCAAGGAACAACGCGCCATAGTACGTTTTCTGTGAGTAAAGGGAGTTAAACCATCGTACCATGAATCAACAAAAGGTGTGTGGGTGGGTTGAACGCTGTAAAGAGGGAAGAACGAGTGTTTCGAGGAGGGAGAGCCAATCTGGTCGCCCGTCAACATCGCGTACGGAAGAATACATCCAGAGGGTGGATGTCTTTATCAGGTGATACTGACGAAACTCGTTAGCAGTCGTAACGGGAGTCGTGAGCATCAGCTATGCGTCTGAACATGGCAAAGTGCGTGATGACTTGAGGTACCGTAAATTTTGTGCGTGTTTGATGCCCTGACAAAGCAAGCAATGCAGACGTGGTTTTGTGACCAACCAAAAAGCTTCTTTTCATTGAACAATACCAGAATTGCGTTGTCGTTCAGGGGACTATGTCGAAAAGTAAAATATGCTTTGGTCCTTCTTATGAAAAAGGAAGAGAAAAAAATTTAAAATAATACGATATTTTGTTTATTTTTGTGATTCTTTAGCACTACGAAAACGTATATTGTCTATCGGGGTATAAGACAATTAAACCGTCAATATACATTGAGAAAATAATTCAAAATAAAATTGAATAAATATCAATTCGTTTGTTTGGTTTTAATTTTTTGTGACAATATGTGGAAATTATTTGTGTATTCCTGAAAAGAACTGTTTGTGAGGAATCTGGGTCATTTCTCTATGCACCTAGGGAGCCGAGATCTGAATTTGTCAATTCGTCCCCTTCGAACCATTCAAACTCACATTCGTTGTCGGACCCGTAGAACTGATCGAATTCTTTCTCTGTGAAATTGGAGTACAGATCTGTGTAGTAGATATCATCGGCGAGATCGTCGTCATCGTTGGTTTCTTCTGGTATCTCTGTTGACCGCCGTTTCTGTATGTATTCCTCGCATCTTCATCCTGCTATCTTCGGCGGCGTCGAGCTTGTTTGAGATGTAGCACTTGTTGAAGACATTGATAATGATAGCGGCGTCTAACTCACACCAGGCGTCGACAATGCACTTGCAGAAGTTTTTTTTATCATTCTGCTTCCGGATGTGTGGCTGTGATTTATTTCCCTTTTTTGCAATATGCCATTAGATAAATATTATCTCTCCGGTAAAAAAAATAAACCCAATTTGACCCGATTTTGTCTGTCTTGAGTCCTAGAAAAGATGGGATTGAATTCTAACCTAAAGTATAAGACGCAGCAGATTTTTGGACACGATTTTGAATGGAAAAACCCGCGTCTTATACACACAGGATTACGGTATATATCCATATTTTTTTATATAATACTTTTTACAGTTCTCACAGATACTAATCATTGATCTTCTGTTTACCTACCACCCAGTGGTAAGATATTTCACATCATCCGTGGCTATATGAGCTAAAGACAAAAATTGTCCATTCTTCACAATCACTGTATTTGGGAAGTTACAAAAATGTAAACCAAGAAATGGAAAGACTAAATGTCAACGTTCTGGGAACATTTGAAGTTAATGTGTTTTCTTGTGTATAATACGACTCCTTGTTTCTGTAGCTAAAATCAGTAAATAAATTACATCCTTCAGTATAATACGAAACTGTAGTACAGCCATCCATATGTAAATTCTTTTTTTTAAAATTATACCACATTATCCATTAAAATCTCAATGTCGTATCCATATTGTTATGGTCCGGTTCCTTGCACCACGGTGATAGTCCAAGGTAGAACCAATAAAGAAGAACTCGAACGCAGGTATGGAATAACACAGATATATTACAAACAAGAATATATGCAGAGAAGTAGAAGTGTTAGTATGAATAATCAGGTTAAGTAGAGAGAACAACGTAGTCTCGACCAGTATCACTATCCCAATGTCTTGCAGTAATTGTCTGGACGCGACTCTGTTTCGGATTGCCTCTGACTCGATTCTTGACTCGACTTGAACTACTGACGATATTCAGTCACCCCCCCACCACCACCACCACGAGGGCGTCATGTGGCACAAGGCCGGTTTAACGTGGGATCTCCGAGCCCGTGGGCTCGGCCAAAAATATGCACATTGAACCCGTATAAACGGGTCCAGGATCGGTTTACCTCCCCGAAAGAGAATTCGCCCTTCGGCGTAGCCTAGTTCGGGTTCCTCCCCGCCCGAAGGCAGAGAGTTCAACCGATCAGCCGGTCGAGACTTGAACTACTGATGATATTCAGTCCCCCCCACACACACACACGAGGGCGTCATGTGGCACAAGGCCGGTTTAACGTGGGATCTCCGAACCCATGGGCTTGGCCAAAAATATGCCCATTAAACCCCTTATAAACGGGTTCAGGGCCGGTTTACCTCCCCGAAAGCGAATTCGCCCTTTGGCGTAGCCTCGTTCGGGTTTCTCCCCGCCCGAAGGCAGAGAGTTCAACCGATCAGCCAGTCGAGATGTGGACGACTGACGATATTCAGTCACCCGGCCACTGGGGCAGCATGTGGTACAAGGCCGGTTATTTAATGTGGGACCTCCGAGCCAGTGGGCTCAGCCCCAAAATATGCCCATTGAATCCGTATAAACGGGTTCAGGGCCGGTTTACCTCCCCGAAAGTGATTCCGCCCCTCGGCGTAACCTCGTTCGGGCTCCTCCCCGCTCGAA